CTGAATAATCGAGTCTACCCATCAGATTTTGACCCAGTCATCCAACATTGAAATTTCTGAACAAACAAACATTGATATTTTTTAAACGATCAAAAATGATCGAGTCTACCCCATCAGATTTGGACAGGAGGTATTCACAGCCAATCGAAAAAAAGAAAATAATCGAGTCTACCCCATCATCTGTAACATAAGGTATTCACGATCATCCAACATTGAAATTTCTAAACAAATGGAATTTTTTTTCTCTAAGTCTATGATTAGATATGATGTTTAATGAATAGATGCCTCGGGGCAGGTTTTCTTAACACAATTTTGCTTCCATACAGCGCTATTATAAGAACGACTTGAATCTTATCGGATCGTACATCTGATATGTTTGACAGAGCACAATCAAGCGCAGTACATCCATACAAGGGAGACAATTTCGTCACAATGGTTAAACAAAGGGAAATAACTCATGCATATTTAAAAACATAAGGGAGATAATTTGATAAGCAATCTTTTAAGAATGTTTTGATAATTATGGCAATGTATAAGAATTGAATGGGAATTTCAATTGGTATTGATAACTAAGTGGTTTTTTTATGAATGTGATTCTCTGCGTTTATCATTGGGTTTTCTTACATAAAATAGGCGTCGAAATACGAATCGTTATGGCTTTGTAGAGTTACATTGCTTCAGAGTGACATATCTAAGCGGTTATCAAGTTCGCTCATTGTGTGCTTTGTTGCATTCGATAAGACTTGCTCATAAAGCTTTTTGCATCGGTGCATTGAATAAGTTAAACTTTTCGATGTAACTTCACAAAGTCATACGAAAGCATATCTGAGGTTAACGAGTTTGTTGTACGCATAGGACTTGGAATAAAACTTTTTCCAAGGTATCTTTACAATTGCGATATGAAAGCATATCTACAGTTAACGGGTATGTTGCATTCGATACGACTTGAAAATAAAGCATTTTCAATGTAATCTGCGGTTACCAAAAATGCTTTGTTGCATTCGATACGACTTTGAAATACAGGTTTTTCAAGGTATCTTACGATGCAAATTAGAGTATATTTGGTATTTGCTTTATTGCATAAGAAAGAGTGGCAAATTACAATGGCTTTACAATGGAAACAAAATCGTATCAGCGCGGTTATCGAGTGCCAAATATTGCTTTACGTAGGCAATCATAATCATATCATCGCTGTTATCGGGTGTGTTGAGTGCGTTCAGCGTATGTCCCCTTGTTAGGCATTCACACAATCACAGATCGGTTCTGATTGTTGTATTTGCAAAACATTGATACAGCACACATGCAACCAAAACCTGATCATTTGTGAACTAACATAAATGTACTGTTATGTAATTGTCTAAGTCTGATGATAATGGTGTATAAACGCATGCAAAGGCTCCATATTGTATTAAAGCATGTTGCAACAATGTAACTGCTCACTGCTATGCTGTATCTTATCTGCAAGGGTCATCGCGAGCAAGTGTGAATCCCGAAAATCAACGTTTCCGAATTCTGCTTTATATCAGCCTGCAATGTAACCGTTCACTGATATACTGAATCCTATCTGCAAGGGTCATCACGAGCGAATGTGATTCTTCTAATAATTTTCCTTGTTACGATAATTACGTGTTACGCATTCGAAGGC